CTTATACCAATACCAAATCGGATGATGACGATTGCTCCTATTCTTATTGTTTGCGTTCAAAGATATTGTTCTAGACACATTCCGAGTGTTGCCAACGAGTCACACTTGCAATGGTGAATGAGGGAGCGGATTTCCAGGTGGCCGGATCCGACCTCGATAGATCCTCGACGCAATTATCTCTTCAACCAAAAAGCTGTAGAAGAAAACTAAACAGACCATCAGGAAGCGCAAACCTTCCGCTTTCCAAAACTATCTTCCCTTTTTCAGGATCTTACAATATAAGAGATATATTGCTCTTGAAGTGGCAAAAACTCGCGTGAAAATTTCGGCCTCCTCGACATTTACTCGACGAAATTTGACAGACCCTATCTTTCTGCAAGGAAGGCTTCCAGAGCAATTTCGATGCTTGTTGGAAACGCGAAATCCAGCTCTATCTAACTCTACCTCAAGCTGCTTCAAAGGTTGTGAAATGGAGGAATGCAACCTTTTCATCGAGGGTGTAGATTCGGACGTTTTTTTTTGAAATTTCGGCAAATCTGACCCAGTGACAATCGCGCCGCAGCTGCCGTTGAATCGGCCTTTGATACACTCGGCTGTTTTGATATACTCAAGCAAGAATCAAGATTGAATCGCAACCCCGTGTCTTCAGGATTTCTGTGCGTTTCTGAACGAACCTCGCCTTGAGGTCACACAAAGTTAATGCCTCTTTCCTCGAGTCGATATTTCAGTATGTACACAAAAGTATGCAGCGATGGAAGACGTGCATAGATGACAAGATGAAGCGTCCTTAGCATTATTTTGCAGAATTTTTTTTGATTTGTTTTGCAGGATTTATTTTAATTGAATTAATTTGCTCTGTTAGAGGGGGTCGTGCCAGGATCTCGATTTCGGGGGGGGGGGGTCGTACCTCTGCGACCACGTACTCGACACGATTTTCACCCTGAGCCCCACTATTTTCATTCAATGGAAAACCAAGAAAAGTCAGCCTGCTGTGAGAAACTTCGGATGTTTGATTTTTGATCATGTGGGACAAACAAGATTTCGCCAGCGAGACCTAGAACGTATAAAGAAAAATAGCAATCTAAGATGAAGCCATCGCTATTTATCTATTTTCTGGAACACGTCATTCATTGTTATAATATTGAGATGGTATAGATAAAATTGTACTAGAAAGAGGCCCTGCATGCGAAGAAAAATAACTACTAGCTGTGGGGTGCGTTTGCAGGCGCGTCCCAAGCGGCCTACGGAGCCTGGTGCCCCAAATTGCCACGCTTTTCAGGTCACGTGGGACGGCGGGGGCACACTGCGGTGGGTTTACGAAGATCGATTGAGCCTCTGAAACCTTTTATGAGTCTACCTGATGGCAGTTGAAAGTGATTGATCACTTCAAGAGTGGACTTATCGGCTGTGATGGTTCCACGGATGGTCTTATTGACAAGGCTGAGACTTGCATGTATCCGTTGCACCTGAAATTATGGCGAATGTAAACGATCTTGTGGCCTTTCTAGACTATGTCTGTGTGAGTGCGCTTTAAATAAGCGATTTGAGGCTAGAGGACATGGTGGGGCGTGTGCAGAGACTGTGGCCATTTTTATAGTGCCCATTGGTGGGCAGGGCCAACCGCCCGTTCACTATTTGAACGAGGAGTCGTATTTATGATTTCGGGAATAGGGGGGGGGGTCGCACTTTGGGGTTGAGCAAGTAAGTAACTACGGAAAACTATAAGTAGTAACTACAGGGGTGCAACAAAAAAGACACTTCATTTTCAAAGTTCCAGCCAGGCATTAAAGACATTTTTAATCAAATACCCTGAATAAGATCTTATATAAGGTGTTATAGAGGGCTCACCGCTCAGATAGTCAGTATCACATCCTAATGTGTTTGTTTACCAGAGCGGCTGTCGAAGCCTATATAAACACTTCCTCAAGTGAGGTTGATTCATTGTATTCGTGGTCTACCCAATAAAGCAATCCCATCTACGTCTCCACAACATATTTGGCGATCAGGATCTGCCGGACTCGACGACATTCAACCAGTCAGAAGAACATAGGATCAACTACAGCTATATATCTATATAACTACATATATCTATACCTACATATCTGTCTGACTACATCGCCTGCAGCTGGAACAAGCACCTGTCATCCAGAAGCTCCGCCGTAAGTTACTTCCAAATCATACGTCATGGACGCCGATACCCTCCGCGCGATCCTTGACGCTCAAGCCATTGCTCAACAGAAGACGCTGGACACTCTAATGGATAAGATGGAAAGGATGTTCAA